TTTATAAGTTTCGAGGCCCTGACATCACCTACTAAACCATTACAGTAACTCTGTGAATCGCACCATGTTGCCTAAAAAGCAGTTAGAAGTAAGCAACGCTAAATGCTTATATGTTAAGGACATCGGTACTCCTAATGCCCCGAGTATCTTTACAATGGTATGATATTGTCCGCTTTGGGCATGGCCCTCATGGCTTTGCTTTTGGTTTCACCTAAAAGGTCTTATACCAAAGAAGATAATTGTCATCTTTTATATACCATGGATCATTCTCTTCCCTAGCCAATGTGAGACTTTATTTGGATTCACCTTACAAACCCAACAATCCTCCCCTCGAACAAAGTACCACCAAGCCTCCCCTTAAGTAGTCACTCATCCATCTACTTTCAGACCGGAACGAGAGCTTGCTCTTATCCAAGGCTTCCGCCACACCTTGATAGAGCACACCCACGGATTACACCAAGACTAAACCTTCTGAAGCTCACAACTTCTTTGTTTGGCACTAGATGATTTCACCAACACAACTAAGCTTAGACCATGGTAGACCATGGCTTTGATACCAATTGTTGTGAAAAATGCAGCCAACTAATAATTATCTCGTTCACAAATGCAGAAAATATTTGTTAGCTAATCCTATATCAGGTTCTGGTTCCAATTAGTGTGGAATTCAAATTTTAAATTGAAACTTACAACTTAAAAGAGTAGATAAAATAATCTAAAACTTTTAAGTAACAAGAATGATAAATAAAGATTGGGGAGAAGAAAATTAAACGAAGGATTTATACTAGTTGACCTAATGTGGGTTCCGTCAAATTCTTTGTTACCATCGCAGGTTCTACTAAAATGTCAGTAAGAATCTCCCAAGAGTTTACAAGCCCTTTACAATGATTTCTCTCAGTTTTCCCTCACACAAAAAATGCTCACAAATCACTTTACAAGTCTTTCAAACTCTCGAACAGATTTACAAGTATTTAGCTCTCAAATTCTCTCTTCTTGGAGAATTTCTCACGACTCTCTATTTGTGCACACCAATCAAATGACTCACCAATCTCTATTTATAATAGATGGTATACAAAACTAAAAGGGAAAGAGAAAAAAAAAACTCAAACTAAATAAAACAAAGAAAAATTCAAAAAGACCTTTTCTTTAAAGAAAAGGATTTTCTCCTTGGTTTGACTCCATTATCCTGACAATCTCCCACTTGGAGACAAAGCAAGCAATATGTCTCCTCTGCAACAGTAGCGACTCTTCTCTAGTAGTGGAGAAGTCTAACTGAAGTTGCACACCACTTCAACTTATCAACAATGACAACTTTGGTAAACATATACGCTGGATTCTGACAACTTGGAATCTTTTCAAGCAACATAATTCCATCTCCAAAGCTGGTCTGATAATATGGTATCTTATCTATATGTGTTTCGTTCTCGAATGAAACACTAGATTCCTTACTAAATGAAAAGCACTTTGACTATCACAATGCAATGTCTCTTTTTCTAAATCTCAAGCCAAGTTCTTCTAAGAAAGACTAAAGTCATATCATCTCTTTGCTTGCTTCAATAACTACAATGTACTCAGCTTCTATAGTAGAAAGTGCTACTATCTTCTGCAGTTTGGATTCTTCTGTAATAGAAAGTGCTCTAACTATCACAATGCAAATTTTCTTTTTCTCAATCTCAAGCCAAGTTCTTCCAAGAAAGACTAAAGTCATACCATCTCTTTTCTTGTTTTAGTAACTACAACGTACTCAGCTTCTGTAGTAGAAAGTTCTACTCTCTTCTGCAATCTGTAGACCCAGTTAATCGCAGTATTACCCAACATAAAGACATACCCGATAGTACTCTATCTGTCATCTGTATCTCCTGTCATATCTGAATCTACATATCCCTGTAATTTAAAACCTAACTTTTTAAAGTGCAAAGCATAATCAGTCGTCTTTCTCAAGTATCTGAAGATCCACTCCATGGCTCGCAATGTTGCTTTCCTGGTTACTCATATACCTACTGACAACTCCCACTATATATGCAATATCAGGTCTTGTGCAAACCACGACATATATCAGGCTTCCTATAGCTTAAGCATGTGGTACTCTAGCCATGTCTCTTTCCTGCTTGGTAGTGGGTGAGTGATCTTTAGATAATTTAAAATGATTAGCTAAAGGAGTACTCGCAGGTTTTGCATTTCCCATGTTAAATCTATTTAACACTTTATTCACATACTCTTTCTGTGACAATGTCAAAATACCATCTTTTCTCTCGATCATCATCCTTAAGATTTGTTTGGTAGCTCCCAAATATTTCATGTCAAATTCTTTAGATAATTCATCTTTATCTTCAGAATTTCCTCTTTGTTTGGTCATGTCATCAACATATAGCAATAAAATGATGAATGAGTTACCCCGAGTTCTTATGTAGCAACAATGATCTGTCTGACACCTCTGAAATTCACTACTGCAAATAAAACTGTCAAACTTCTTATGTCATTGTTCGGGCACTTGTTTGAGACCATACATGCTTCTCTAAAGTTTGCATACCATTCTTGCCCCTGTATTGTAAATCCCTGTTGTTGTACCATATAAATTTCTTCCTCCAAATCACCGTGAAGAAAAGTCGTTTTTACATCCATTTGTTCTAGGAACAAACCTTCTTCTGCCACTATTGATAGAACAGTCCTAATGGTAGTTAGTTTAACTACGGGAGAGAAAATCTCATCAAATTCAATACCTTCCTTTTGTTGAA